TGATCTCTGCGACAAATCACAGGATTACATAGTACTACTAGTTTCTGGATAATGCTAGGATTACTATGTTACAATACTTCGCCACTATGTCCATTACATATTACTATATATGGCAATTTTTCTGTGGAGAATAGACATAGCCTGCTGGTTCAAATAGCTGCCTCAGCAAAACAGAGAAACATGACCAAGAGCCCCCTGGATGAAGAACACCAGACCCTAGATACATCAAAATTTGAGCATTGCGTTTTGTTTTGCTCATGGTAATTCCACTCCCAGCATTTCATATTCAAGCTATGTCCAGGTGTTCCCTTCCGCCTTTTGCACAGTATTGTGATAAACTCACAAATATATAATCCCAAACATCACAATAAAGGGGTGGTAACTATCATCCCCATATGGCCCCACATGGTAGGTTTATTATTGGGTTGCCCACATTAGATAATGATAGATAATGATAGATAATGTATATATACGTATATATATAGAAAGATCGAATCAAACGTGTCTCAGCAGTCATCCGCACCTCAGGATTCAAATGGGCTGAGAACTTCTCCCTGCATTTCCATGCGCCTAGTTCCAACCCACGGCAACATTTGCCATGTTGCAAACACTGGGAACTTGAGATTTTCTGGGACTTCGTTGCTTCAATAGTTCACACATCAGAGCGATTAAAAAACTTGTCGCCAAAATAAAAAGGGGATAAAAACCACCAAAATTACCAACAGAATTTGGGATGTTAACCACCAAAAAGATCACCAACTTCCGAGCTATGAGGTGCTGACCCACACAGTCTGCGCTGCAAAGTAGGACGGCTCTGGAGCTTTCAAGCGCTTCAACGGCCTCGGTAAAGAAACCCTGGCGGGCACCAAGGGCGAAAGCTGGAAGATGAAACTTGAACAAACTGTCGTGCAAGTATATATGTGATTATAATTGGTATATATATACATATATATATATATATTATATATTATATATATTATATATATAGTGGCCAGCTAGCAGTTAGAATATTCCAAAATGCAAAACAGTTCGAGTTAGAATATTCGGAAACATTAGCAGTTAGAATATTCCAAAATCAAATGAATTCATGGGACGCACACAAACATCTTGCTGTTTTTCCCCTCTGCTGCTGTGCTCCATCGAAATCTCCATGCACTGTACGTTCAAATTCAATGTCTTCAATGCCGATGTTGGATTTCTCTTTCTAAATTCTAATGTACCGTGCAAAAGTCAATGTATCGACCTAATGTACCTTGGATTCAGCAAGCCACCGAACAATGCCAGTTCGGGCTTAAATTTCTATCTATGAACCTACATAGATCCTGAATATCTAATAATTCTTTGAACATACTAGATACTGCGGGAATATTCTAACTGCTGGCAGATTAATAATTCTAAAAATATAGTTTTTCCTATGGCTTGCCCAGATTTGAGGACCATAGCTCTTCCAATCTCTTCAATTGTTTCTTTGCTAAACGGTCCGAATTGTTGGCTATTTAGCAACTATTTAGAAGCTATTTAGAAGCTATTTAGCAGTTATTTAGCAGCTATTTGACAGCTATTTAGTGGCTTCGTAGCAGCTATTTAGCATCTAATAAATTATTTAGCAACTATTTAGCAGCTATTTAGCATGTATTCAGCAACTATTTAAGAATTAGTTTAGCAGCTATTTAGCAGTTATTTAGAAACTATTCAGCAGCTCTTTCAAAGAAGTATTGTTTCCAGAAACACTTCAAGCAGTAATGTTTTATTAATATTATTATTGTCGAATATTCTAAGTGTAATATCGAGCAGCTATTTAGCAGCTATTTCGTTACTATTTGGCATCTATTTAGCAGCTATTGAGCAGCTATTTAGTATAACTATTTAGCAGCTATTTAGCAGCTATGTTGCAGTTATTCAGCAACTATTTAGAAGCTATTTAGCATCTATTTAGCATCTATTTAGCAGCTATGTAGCAGTTATTTAGCAACTATTTTGCAACTACTTAGCAGCTATTTAGCAACTATTTAGCAACTATTTAGTAACTATTTGGCGGCTATTGAGTGGCTACTTAGCAGCTATTTAGCATCTAATGGCTATTTGGCAACTATTTAGCAGCTATTTAGCATGTATTCAGCAACTATTTAAGAACTATTTAGCAGCTGTTTAGCAGTTATTTAGTAACTATTCAGCAGCCCTTTCAAAGAAGTATTGTTTCCAAAGATACTTCAAAAAGTAATGTTTTATTGATATGTTCATTATGGAATATTCTAAGTGCAATATCGAATATTCTAAGTGCACTGCAGATAGAATATTATCAAAAATCCAGCCGGGCCTTTAAAAAGAGCCGCTGAACTCTCAAGGATGAATACGTCAATATTCTAAGTGCTAGCCGGCCACGATATATATATATATATATTATACATATATCATATATATATATATATATATAATGCAATTTGTTGACAGTTGGCAGTTCTTTTGGGTATAGTCTAGTCGTTCTGCTTTCCCTGGATCTGGGGTTTTGAACAATGACGAATCCCACTTTGCGAAGTACTGTGAACATGTATGAAAATGTGAAGTACTGGAACATTCAGTACTGTAAAATGATCTAAAATGGAACCAACATGATTCCTGCGAATCTGCAAGCTGTGATGAGCCATCGCAAATTGGATATCAGTCAAATTGGGGTACCTAGAGAAGGATGCTTGAAGTATTACTGAGAATTTTCATATACATCATATGCGATTCCCCTTGCTTCCCCAAATCTAGCTGAGGTTTCTTGTTTTATTGATAGTTTAGTTTCTCCAAAAAACATGGCCGATCTTACCTACCGACCACGCCAAAAAACATCCAATCTTTAGCTGTGGTATGTCCCAAGTATCTGAGGAAACCATATCGGCAATGAGGTCATTGCAAATAATCCCATGATCCAAAAACATTGACCCATACCCAGCTCGAAGCAAAGCATAAACCGATGCACATAGTTCTGGATTAAAACAATTGAAGCCAATATAATAGATCAGTAATTAGATGTCTATAGTAAAGTAACTCTTTAAAATAGACAAATCATGACAAATCATCACTTATTTTACAAGTAGGATTTTACCTTTCAATCCCTTTCTTAGGGATTTCATCTTAACCCCCAGTGACATGACATCCATCGCCATGCTGTCCAGCGCGCCAGGGCACTTCGTCATTGGCTGTTGCCCGTCTCATTGCCTGGTCCAAAATCGAAAGGGAACAACTATTGATTATCTCATATCAGGAACAGTCAATAATCTTAATGATGGGATTATAAACTGTTATTGAATATATAATATCAATCAGGATTGACATATAGTGACATATATTGTCATATATTGATATAATCATCCGTTGTTTTCAATTGAATAATCTTGAAATGAACAACATCAATCAGACAACATCAAAAATCCAAGAATGAGGATTCAATTAAATGATGCCATAAACAGCTCAAGTGAACTTAATCACAATGTACGTGACTTAGCATAGAGTATCTATGGGGTAGACAATCAGAATAATTCAGAGGTGATTATTCATGTCCTTTGGACCCTTCATCGCCGCATCATTCCTGCAAATTCATTCCTGCAAAAAAAACAAGAAACAACTGCAGTAAGAAAATTCTCTCGGCTAAAGCAAGCATCATTGAACTATGTTTCACAACCTTAGTTGCTTAGACCCCAGCAAGTCGCATCCCCCAAATTTTGGAAGTTTTGTGCTGAATACTGGCAGTTCTCATATCATTTCTGCAGGGGCTCGCACCTGAAAGGCGTGGAGGTAGAGAACCAAAGCCCCCTGGCGAAAAAAAGCAGTTGGAGGCTACACAGATCTGATTGAAATGCAGGGAAATCCCCTGATTTCCCCAAACACGGTATGTCGTCTCTGTTGAGACATGTAAGACTAAGCTACATCTGTTGCATGAATCGAAAACAAAACAGACTACAGCTGTTCACATCACCACAGACCATTCAAAACTAGCAGCACCAGTGAAAACAACAACCTCATCATCATGATCATCATCACGATCATCCTCATGATCAGCATCATGGTAACCATTACCACCAAGATCAACATCGGAAAAATCATCATCACCCGATCATCACCCGATCATCACCCGATCATCACCGTCCTCCTCATCATCACCATCACCATCGCCATCGCCATCGCCATCATCATCATCATCATAATCATAATCATCATCATCACTATCATCATCGTTGCAGCCACCTCAATCGAAATTGCCAGTTTCTGCTGCGCTGCAATGCAACCCAGGTCCTGCTGTCACACGCAATCAAAATGATCAGTTTAGCAGTTTGGTGGGGATTAAGCCCAGAAAAAAATAAAAATCCGTGAAAAAAAACAAAAAAGGAAACTGCAAACAAACTGCACTGGTTTGCTTCTACGTTGCTGGAAAAAAACTCAAACATGCAAGTGGCAAATTTTAGAGTTTCGAACATGCCCGAATTCTCAATCTCCGCAAAGAGCATGAACCAATTTCATTATGAATTCAATTGCCCCCTAGAATCCCACACCTGATTTAGGGCAATCAATTTCATGAACCCCAAAAAACACAGTAAAACAATGTAAAACATATATTTTGATATTTTTGGGTTTCCTGACCCATGAAACACCCAGCATCCCTTGACATCGCTATCTGCCTCTGTACCCTCTGTGCCAAAAAGCTCGGGGCAGGCGGCTGGCACCAATGCATACCTTGGGTGCGTAGCATGGCCTGTTCTTAGCCATTTATTTTAGTCGGGATGGAACAAAGAAAACACTTGAAACACTTGAAACCTCCCGAAGAGTTTTACCCCGACAATGTCGATTCATGTTTGCCGCCTCTGAACATCTCGGATGGAAACGTCTTTGGATCCTGCGATGCATCAGGCCAAGATGCTCATCGATGCCAGGATCATCACGAAAAGCCGCATTGAGGCGTTGAAGTAGAAGGGCCATTGATGACCGAAGGGGTCAGTTATGCACGACTACCTCAACTGTTCCCCGGTGAGCTAGGCTCAGGATGTATTTTACAAGTGGCGCATTGAATGCGGTTTGTAGCAAGCAAATGGGGCCGAAGCAAGATGACCGTTTTCCATCCTTTCCAATACATCCCACAGAGCACCTAACTTCAAGGAATCGAGGTGATCATGGTCCTTCAAACAATCGCAAATCAGGAAGACATGCTAATGGCGGTGGATAGTGACGGATCGTGCCGAAGTTTTGATGCTGTAGATGCTAAGACTGTTCACAGGATGACACACTTTGGATTTGGATCTGGATCCCCTTGCAACTTGATAGAGTAGATGTGATAGATTATCAGTTGATATAATGATTGGATCTGGATCCCCTAGCGGCTCGTGATTATCTAGATTTAATATATCTAATGATATATGGTGCAAGTTTTGCCATTCTTGAAATTCAACCACAATTCACAAAAGCCGCAACGACATGCAACTTGCAACCGCAGTACGGCATCCCTCCAGTCCATTTTTTGCTTAGCTGTCGCTACAACCAATGTGCAGACAACCTTCGAACGTTGACCCAGAAAAAATACATTGTATTAAACTATCATAAACTATCTACATTTTATAATTAAGCATATACATTAGATTGAATAAATATACAGTAAATTTAAATATTATCATATCATTAGAGTGAGTAGAGTACATTTTCAACAAGCACCTTCCAATAGAACCGGCCGCTCAGCCACCCCTTAGCTGAAGGTCCTCCAGCCAAATTTTTTACCACTAGTGGCAGCGCAGAGACCACATTGTCATCCTATCTCTACGGTTGATGGAAGACATGTTGCAGAAGTTGCTTGCTATTGCTGCGTCGGATAGTCTGTCAATTTTTTATCATCCACCTCAAACCTCCCCAAGTGATGCAGGACTGCTTCCATCAACGCTAACTTTGGCATCCAAGCAACTGCTTCACTTCACCCGGGGCCGGGGCTGTTCTCCTTTCGGAGGTGATCAACCCTTTCTTGGCTGTAACATCAGCCATTGCCCCGACCCCAAGATCTATGTACATCTAAAGCGGTGCCCCACATTGGCTCACGGCTCTCTAAAGCTCACAAAGGAACCTGGAGTGGGCGCTTTTGATTGGGTTTACTCATCCCAAATCAGGATGAAGATGATGAAACCGAAATGTTTTGAAACATTTTAGATTTTGAAACCACCGAAGTCAGAAAAGATGAAGTAGATATCCAGTAAGATCATTGACCACCGACATACGAACTGTCATCAATTCTCCGCCTCTTCGTCTCCAAAGGGCCGGTCAAGGCCTTTCTTCAGAAAAGGTCTTCCTGGCATTGCGGTGCTTCCCCGACTGCATCGGTTGCCATTGCTGGTACAACTAGTAAAACTGGCAACTAGAGCTTACTGCCCCGAACAACAAGTATTCAACACAAGAGGTGCTGCATGGTGCTGCAAACATGATTGATCATCTGGCCGTTTAGCATCATCTCTTGTTCCCATTTAATGTGTCATTTCGGGGGGGTCATTCTGGCTTTCCCTAGCGGATGTTGCGGTGATCAACTGTGAGCGGATGGAGCTCCATAAACTTGCTGGCAAAGACCGTTGTAGAGCATCATGCGAAGCTTCAGCCAAGCCTAACCAGATTTTCAAGAAAAACTGGCACTGATACTGTCCAATTCTCTTGAGAATCAACCTTGTGCGCTCAAATGTAAACATCCAGGCAACTCTTTTCAAGTCAAGAGTCAAGAGATGTGGAATTGCAAACAGCATCCAATTTATCTCAAAGCCGCATAGATTCTGCTTGCACTTTGGTCTTGCCTTTCTGCCAGAATCGCTCTGGAAATAGAAGTAGGCCTAGCCAATGGCACAATGGAGGCGAGGCTGCACCTTCCGAATTTCACCCTGTATGGAAGGCTTTGTTTACTGACACGAGCAAAGTAGCAAACGGATTCAACACCTTTTCACCACCACGGATATATGCAGCTTCATGATGGTTCATATTACATAGAATTACATTTAGAAATATTGCAAATCACATATTATCTGTTATAAAATATCCAGATTCCGACAAAGAATCACAAAAAAAACACAACAAGTCAGCTCGCCTGCGAATTCTCTGTTCCCTAAAGCCACTTTTTGATCTTTTTGGTCAAACATCGCCGGCTTGGCCACAAGCAGAAAGATGGTCACAAAGAGCATGACCTCCGGGGCAACATGCTGAGGGGGTATCGTGAGATTCCTGGGTCTTTTTTGCCAAATCCCTAAGCAATACCTAGAGGAGTCCTTACCAAGAGGTTGGATATACTTTGATAAGACAACTGCTAGAGAACATGGAAGCAGATGTCAAGATCAGTCCTCTGGAAGATCTGGAAGATCCAAGTTTCAGACGCTGAAGCTGGGCCCACTGTGCCCGCTGTGCAGCGGCATCGGTGTGGACTTGGAGATCTTGTCGGACATCTGACCGCCAGTTGAGAATTGTTGAGAACGGGATTGAACTGGCGTTAAGATGGTTGAGATCAATTTCAAGTTATGGATATATACTGTACCTATCCACCCATCTTCAACTCCAAAGCTAGGATTTACATGGATTTACATCTTTACTCCCATTGATTTCAACCAGTATTCCCTTGATGTATTCCTTCAAGATATGAAATTTCTGCAAACATGGACCATCACCACCAGGCCTGGCTCAGAAGATACTCGATCTTGTCTGCATCGTGAACCAACTGATCCTGACGGCTGGTCGGAAAAAGTACCCATTTATTCATGGGATATACCCTCTGGTAAATTAACATAGACCCTGAAAATAGCCTAGTTTTAATGGAAACTAATCTTCCAACCCCTATCTGCCAGGGTCTATGTTAATTTACTGGAGGGTAGATTGGGATACGGATGGAGATGGTATATGGATTACTATGGATAGAAATTGTAAATACACTTCTATAGGGAAAGTAAATCATTTATATAATTGGGATATACTAATCTATTTCATTCTATTTCTATGGACATGGATTGATATGGTATAAATGGAAATAAATTGAATATCACGGACAAAATTCCATCACCAACTTGGATTACTGGAGGGTCTTAGATGTGGGATATCATATGAATATGAATTGTGCATGTCCTCAAACAACGATTAATCCCAAGCAAATGTTTCCCATAGGAAAAGTATCTGGACGTAAAGTTTCTGTCAGCATCAGGGGGTTGAATCCTGGTTTATACATCGATGAGGGATAGTGTTCTCAACCCACCAGAAATGTCTGCCAATCCTTTCACGCTCCACTCTTGAACCCGACTTAGAGATTCAGCAAGACGAAACAACAAAATCCAATCCTAAGAGATTCACGAAGAAAAAATCACCCACCTCCGCCTGCTTTTCAGCCTGCTGAATCGCAGAGGCGATTGATGGCGCCTGCCGAAGACTCCAAAACAGCTGGGTTCATGTTCAAGCCCAACGCTAGGATTTCAATCTTTCATTCCTATTGAGTTTAGGCCTAGATATTTCCCAAAGAAAGAACACTTTCTCAAACATGGATCCAAACATCTACCCTCAGATAATCAAGCGTTGCCATGGAAAATATCCCATCTATATATGATTTTCTCACCTAAAAACCTCCATGTAGTTCCGGGATTTTCAATTGCCATGTTTGATGACACCAGAGGGTACTAACCAATATTCCATCAATACCCCAGTAGTATTCATTATAACGTATTATAACATATCCCCATTAGTACCCGTTAAATCCCAATAAAACCAAGTAAATCTTATCATATTCAATTCCCATGAAATCCAGTTATATTCCCATGAAAAATCTTGTGACTTCCCATGAAATCATGGACTTTTGGATCCCCATGGCCCAACCCACAACTTTTCGATACACATCGCCCAACCTCCTTCAGCTTGACCCCTGCCAGCTTGGCCAACTGGGAGTCCAGGTTGCGTTCCTTCCCCAAATCAGCGGCCAAGGTTTCCGAAGTCAACTGGCTTTTGGGGTTTCAAATCTTCTCAACTTTGGTTGAATTCAAAAAAACATGTTGATATACTGTAGGATGATAAAGGATGACATAGGATGATACAGGATATACGATGATATAGGATGATATAGGATGACATAGGAATGTGAATGTGAATTGTATGGACATGGATTTATACCTGACAAATCTAAGCCGCTTGGTCCATTTGGAGGGACTCCAGGCCTCTTGGGGGTGTGGTGTGGCGAGGTACTGCAACACACGGAATTGATGACAGCGATGACAGCGATGAAAGGGATGATGATGATGATGGTGGTGATGATGATGATGATGTTGATGATGATGATATATTGTGATTGCGTTATACATCCTCAATCTTTACTTCTATTCATTTTTAAGAATATCGTGAAAAAACACGCACAGAGATTTATTTTCCCCAACATGGCTCCAGTGACTCTCCGGATCCCAGTCCCGGTCAGCCAGCACGCCACTTGGCTTGGAGCCAAGGAGTGCCTCACAGATGTGGGACGTGAAGAATGGTGAACACTTTCTACTGCATCAACTGGAAGAATGGTGGCCAAGAGGATCTAGGATCTGGGAGTACTGGGATTCTTAAGTTATGTTAACCATAGAAGTTGGGGAACAACTACAACCAACAATCAATGGTATAGTCTAGCAGGGTTATCACGGGGATAAAATGTGATAAACCCGATGCCATCAACTAGCATTGGGGGATGGTTGGAATCGCACCCATTTATGTTGTTTAATACCGAGGATGGATTGATTATTGGGTTTACGAAAACCCACCCAGCCAACCAGGCCTGCGCTGGCTGTGACGGCAAAGGCGTCGCAACCAGCGGTGGATTCGCCTAGCCACATGGGCCACATGCGCCCTGTGGTTTCTGATCATTCACTTTTCTGGGAACTTCAATCAATATTGGGTTTTGATATGTTTTAGCCAAAAATAACTCCGCAACATGTCAACAATTGCCAATGTCTCAGCCTTCACAGGCATTATCGTTGGCACCGCCGCCGCCGCAGTTGCTGCTTTTGGCGCCTGAGAGGCATCAGCTATTGAGTTCACTCAGTTGGCATCGTTGCTGCTATTATTTAGCATTATCATCATTATTGTCCTGATGATCAAATGTTACTATACATAAACTATTGCTGTTCTTCTTATTTACTTACTTGATTTTACTTGTATCTTTATCATTCCTATCATTAGACATCATTGTATCCCTATGGATCCAAACACCTCCTGAGAAGGGACGGGCTAACTCCCTTCTAACATACCCCAAAGACTTTCTAAGAAGGTACGGCTGGATCCATCGGTAGTATATCACAATAGTACATGATATCACAAAGCCACTTAACGTCGCTGGGCACCGTCTCTATTCGGGCAAACTCACTCGCCTGAACTGCGGAATTCAGGCTCTGAATGACCTGACACAAAATGCAATGCTGGCAGCACCACTGGAATGCACATGAAGCCACCTCGCTGTGATGTTTTCGTCTTGGCAAAATTTGGCAAAGGCATCCAAAGCTGGCTACTTCAGCCAAACCTCGACAGCTGCTGGAGGTTCCCAGGTTCCCAAGCGTCCCAGCCACCGTCGCCTTGCTGGTGGCCAGGAAAGCATCTTTGCAATCACCCGACAACTCCTCTTGATACTTCTGCAGGCACTCCAGGATGCCCACCTAAAAAACATGGGGGGCGGGGGCCCGATGTTAATACGGAGCAGTATGGAGTAGTGTTCCTAACTAGTTAATACTGTAATAATATAATGATATAGGATACATATTTGTATATATATATAATATATATAATATTCAAGTGAGACATTTTTGGGGTCGTGCGAAAATTGCCGGAAGTTCCAAGTGTACAGAACTGCGAGAAAAATCCATACGTCATTCTGGGATAGTTGCCTCATGAGGGTTCAACCCCCAGTGCAGTGACTTCCCCAACAAGAAACATGTTTGAGATTCGCCCTGAGATATGTGGTTGTTGGTGGCCAATACCTCCGAACCATCATCCGTATAAACCCAAACATTGTTGCGGGGGTCTCTGACACGAAGCCATTCTCCCATATCCCATGACTATACCAAGTCATCATCGACCTCATCTCCAAGACCCTAGCGTGAAGCACATCACAGTGCTGATCAATGGCAGCGCTGCAAACGAAGGGGACCTGGGACGTGGCAGATTGACATCTGGGTCTTGGTCACCGATGGTGACATCATCATTTCACCAAACTTTTGCTTAAGAGTCCATTGGAGTCTCCATATTTTTCATGTCCTAAAATCACACCTTATCATATAGTTCATTAATATACATCTTATATTAAATATCAGCATATATGAACATATATGTAATATCAGTATCTTATTTTTAAATATTAAATATGTTTTATGTGTACATCAGTATCATCCAGTGTATCCTGAAGATTTGTCCGACCGACTTCCCCAGATTTTTTTTCTTCTCAGCTGCCGGACCGACTTCCCCAGATCGCGGCGGCAGTCCTCCGAGATGTCAGCACCTTGCGCTGCCATGGGGCTTCGATGGGGAAAATCCATGTTTTTTTGTTGGATGTTTTTTTTTAATTAACAATAATAATAATGATAATAATACTAATATAATATATACAGTATATATAATATTATATATATATATATATTAATTCTATCCCAAACTCCATGTTGGTCAACCACTTTTATAACATATCACTTGGTTTGTTTGAAGAAATTTCAGGTGGTATCTTTGTCCACGGCCTATACCAGCCCAAAAAGACTTCATCTTCGAAAGAGAGATCACAGGTCAACATCTCAACATGTCGAAATAGGGTTGAGCATAAATGCTTGAAACCACCAATGAAACCTTTTGTGAAACCAGTCAGCAACACATCTCCATGGCTCCATATGGCTCCCACAATCTTCGATAGTCTTCGGCTCCCAAGATCTTCCAGATCCGTCTGATTGGTGTCGTTGGGGATCGCGATCGCATTTCATCCCATTTCTCTGGTTGAACAAGTTGAACATCAACATTTTGGACCCACCAACCATCGTTGGCCGTCTGAGTCTTCCCACGATGTTGGCCCAAGCAATGAACCTGTGATCTGGCCTGAGCCGCAGGGGACACCTCCAAGTCCTCCAAGTGAAAAGGCAACTTTAATAGGGAACATGCTGATGAACTAGTGGATTGCAGGATTGAACCAACCATTTTTTATTTACGGGGAAACATCCTTTCACCTAGAAATCCAAGAAGAATGCTCAATATAAAACCAACCATTTTAAGGGAATGTACTTTTCTTGGGGCAGTTAAATCAACCACAACATTTTAAAGTACAAATTTCAGACAAACCGAACCTCATGTTACATGTTGATTAACCAGCAAATAACTTACCCCAAAAATAGAAACACATAGGGCACATCCTAATTATGATTAAGCATGGACAACATGTGAAGGATTGCAAGCGAGCTGTTAACAAATTGAAAGTAAGCCACACGTATCGTCATCCTGCCCCGAAGGCACGGTATCAGGTATATTCCTCCAGGGCTAGACGAACACTCAACATAAACCCTGTTAACCAACCATAACCATGTTTAATGCAGCTAATGTTAATGCAAGATGGCTCTGGCCAGAAAACCTCCAACATCAAACATTTGCTTCGTTTCTGACTGACGAACACATCCCGAAGTCAATCAGAATCCACATCACATGTCTTCGCATGAACATATCAAAACAATAGAGCTGGGTGTTTCTTAAAGCGAAATAATACCCCAAGATCAACCCCGCAAATAATGATTATATTGATTTATATTTAACTTATTTAACACAAAAAACACAACTGTTCTGTAGCCAAGACATTTCAGGAGCGCCAACACCGAGCTGCTGTGGAACAATGCGCCACGGCGTCCTGGTTCGCCGCCAGATTTCAATGGGGAACACATGGGGAAAACTCTGAGAAAATGATGAGAAAAAGTGGTGGAAATATGAAAAAATCATGGGGAACAATGTTTTTTTTAATCATAAAAACACCCCTGGAATCCCAGGGCATTTCCAGTTTCAACCAGTTTCAAAGAGTTTTGTGCCAAACAAACGACTTCCTTTTTCCGGGGGATGCCGCAACGGCAGCGCGCCTTCTGACACGAATCTGGGGCTGCGCTGGCATGCCGCGTCTTGTGCAGTTGTGGTGCTACCACTTCCTGCAAGGACCACAACAGGAAGGAGAAACGGTTAGATCAGTTGATCTGCTACTAATCTATAGGATCGAATTTTGATAAAATCCATCTTTTCTTTTGGGGTCACTAAAAAGAACATGAATATCCCCTGATGCCATCCGTATACCAATTTGGACAATTTTAGACAGATGAATTTACCACCTAAAGAGTAGAAATCTTCCCAGCCAGTCAGTCGTTGACTGAGCTCCTGGACCATGTTGTTCATTGAGCTCCTAGGTCCGGAATTGAGCTGATGTGGCATGCTTTGGGGTCAAGATGATCTAGGTACCCAGGCAGTTTGGACCCGCTTCAATGGTTGCTGTTTCTTTTTGAGGGCATCCTACATGTTGATGGGCTGCAAGACACCGATGGTCTGGAAATCTGGCCTCTTTCTGCCGTGTTCTTTAGAACCACCACTTTGCAAACCCATCACGTCTCCAAATATTGATGAAGCCAACAGTGCAAGATGTTCAACACGAGAATGGCCAGCTCACAGTTGCAGCCCAGCCCGGTCGGCCGCCTCTTAAGCAGTTGGAGATTAACCCCCCCCACGGCCTATACGGCATCAAACAGTGATTCCAAGGACCCGACAACATATCCATGACAAGCGGATCCGGCTCTCGAATGGGCTGCGCACTACCTTGGGTCTGAAACATGACCAGAATCTGTGATTTTCGAGTTCTCAAATTGTGGCCCTAAATCTTCATACTTGTAAATCTCCACAATGCAGATCGAAACTCCTTGTTGTGTCTCCTTCAATCAAGCGATATCATAGATGGCTCATAGATGGACCACAAATGGATCATAGATTTCACCCATGTTCCAGCTATTTCCTCTATACCAACAACATTCAACCATACTTTTTGGCAGAGTTAAGCACCATGTCTGCTTGATCTATTTGGGGATTTTAATTTCAGGACCCAACCATATAGATTGCCTCCACATCAGATCCGTCAGCGATCCAACCGGCTGTGCACTGCAGCTGTTTTCGTAGCCACTTTTGCACACACAATCCTCGACATCTCGAATACTCCAGGTGGTACCAATGCATTCTCTGGACACTGAAGCGTTGGATGCCCTCACAGCCATGTCAAGTTCTTGATCAGGCCAGAAGACTTCCAAAATGGCATCTGATGCGATGTCTTTAACTCTCGGGAGGATGCATCAGCCTCTTGCACAGTCATGTGAGTGTGACAGTCAATATCTGTTCAGTTGACAAGCATCTGGTCGATGGCTTGGCGCTGTCCAAAAGCTCTACCTTTGGTATGGCACTCATGCCCAACATAGCACGTAAGCTGATGCCACCGTCCACTAAGGGTCTCGGAGGCACCGTTGGCAACGATGGAAATGGCACCTCAAATGTGCTGGACAGGGCAGAGGCCAACCTCTCTTCTGCAACGCTTGAATTGTTGGAAGACGCTTTTGAAGAAAATGTGGTGGTGTTCTCTCGGCACGGCCTGCACTGTTGATTTGCACTTGAACTTTTCTAAGAACCCCGTATGCATTCCTCGCCCTCGCCATCAACAAAGCCATATCCGGGCATGCACACGCAATGCTTGAAACTGAACTCCACTGCCGGGTAGTCTCTCCCACTCCACAAGGGATGGACACCCCATGACACCCTCGCTCTGCTTCATCTTCACCCAGAAATGACGCAACATCAACTTGGCGTCCAATTCCATAGTAACTTGCTTTCACGATAAGCTTGGGACTGGATCCTGGTATCCTCCACCACCAGCTTTTCGCCGACCAGATCTGCTCCAAAGATTGCGATGATGCACCTCTGCTAGGAATGCAGGTCGTAGCTTCTGAACTTTGCGGTCGTAACCTTTGCTTGAGAGGAAACCGAGAATATCATGTATCATATTTATCATACATTCCACATTGTACTCTATAAAAATATATATATATATATGTATATAAATATATATACATACATACATCTACTAGATCTATATATTAGCTATAGATTCCCCAAATATCCCCAAAGGGTAGATTTCCCGTCGTGAAAAATCACAAAAACCGAAACCATTCACTTAAACCGAAGCAACTCAACAAACCATTCACTTCGCATTCGACATCCGTGGTCTGTGTATAGACTCCTGCTGCAATACCACGCTGCATCCAGTCACCGAGGATCTGGATGGAGTTGGCGTATTTGGCTTCGAGTTCCGAAGTGTCCTATATGGGGAACCCATGGGAACCCCCCGGATCCCCTGTGATCTATTGATTTTGGGGTTTACACGAATCCATATGGGGGGGTAGTTGATATGGGATATATGGGGAAGGGACTACATCCAAAACTAATACAGAAGTAACATATCTTTAAAATGCCAAACTGTTCGGGGGGACTTATGTGGTCAGGGTTTGCGATTTTGAGCTTCGATGTTGTCTGTGTCACTCATAGACCCCTAGCTTTCAATTCAACACCTTTCAAAATCAAACGTTCAAATCGCTGTGGTCCTTCAAAACGTCGTAGCCCCAATTCTTTCGAGATGTTTGCCACAAGTGTTCCTCAGGAAGTACCAAACCATGTCCACCAAACTCACCCACTACCTTGATGAAGGGCTGAAACCTTTCGTCCATCGGAAAGGTGGCTTCGGGATAGTTGTGATGATCAACGATATCGCCCACTTCGAAAAAGTTTCCGCCGCTAGCAATATTCAGCAGCCTTGAGGGGTCATAAGCCTGCAGCCATTTGGCAATTTCCAGCGTGTCATGCTGCCCCCAGGCTTCATTGAAGGGCACCCAAACTACAACAGCTGGGCTGTTGTGGAGGGTATCCACCATCTCTTTCAGCTCCATCAGAAACTGCTTCCTGGCCCAGTCTGGCCATGCGGCATCTTGCCCTCCGGGCTGCAGGCGAGTCCAAGGTGGAACCTTGAAACAATCACCCTCCTTCTCAGTCGCAGATGCTTGGTCCTGCCACACCATGATGCCAAGCACATCGCAGTGGTAGTAGTACCTGCAGATGCTGAGCCGTCTGGGCAAATATGCTTTGAACATGTTTGAGCACATCTGAGAAACAACAGGTCTCCACATCCCTGCAGGCATGAACCTAAAACATCCTAAAACCATCCTAAAACCCTTCAAAATCTTCAAATCTCAGCTGTTCAGTGGACAAAAAATCTATTCACACAGCTCGTGCCTGCGTGGTTCAAGCTTCACATGTTTTCGGATCATGTTGAAGCCTGCTTCCTTCAAGAACTCGATCTCCGATCTCATGGCCTCATCCGAAGGGGCCGTTAAGAGCCCATCCGGCCACCAGCCTTGATCCAAGGGGCCCAAGTGGAAGCATATCTCACCTGGTTGAGCCACACATTGGATTTTTATAAAAATAATCCTAATTTTATTGTACCAGCTAAGTTATTTAGGGAGTCTATTAATTTTGTTGAAAGGGGATTGCAGGATAGATTACCCTCCAGTAATCAAACATGGCTAGCTGGTAAATCCCCTATAAAATCGATGATTTATTGGGGAAGTCATTCGGATAAATGCTAGATTTTCCATTGCCATGTTTGATTACCAACGGGTATATAAGATTATGAATCATTGGGCGCCGATCATTTCACCATTCATCCTTAGGCATGGAATTACATCGAATTAGATGGAACTGATTGAGGCCCAATGACTTTCCATTTCTTTTTGGGGTGGAACTTGATCTCATTCAAAAAAGGATCAAACAAACTAGCAGCCAGTGGCCATTCAAGGTCATCCTCCAGTGCCCCTCCTCATCCTGCTGCTTGCCCACGCTTCGTATCCCCACATAGGACTGCACGGAATCCACTGCCCCGAGCCGCGCATCAAGCAGCTGAAGCTGCAAGTCGTAGAGGTGAGGACTTTCCGGGGACCACAACTTGGCACCTGGCATTAGCTGAGTGGTGTGGATGGATCAACACCTTCAGATTTTAGGATGGATACACATCACAAATCATAACATTTACCAGCTATGTTTTGGTATCAGAAGGGTACCTGGGCTTTGATCTGCAGCCATTGTATTTTCCAAGATTTGAGTTTTCCGTCATCCCGGAGTAGATCGAATATCCTCCTATGCCCAATATCTAATCATGTGTTCCTATTCGATATCTAAAATATCTAAGCCAGACTGGCTTTTCCACTTACATACCTTGCTGTATTGCTATATCCCCCATGAAGCCACTCAGTCTGATCACTTTGTTTCCCACCCGACATTGCCTGGCAGTTCCAATTTCAAAACGTCGTTGCTATTCGCTTCCATCTCCAAGACCTCGGGGATAGGCCCCTCGGAGGCTTGATGAAAATTGACTCAGGCAACGAAGATGCAAATTCAAAGATGATAAACCTATATATACACATGAGAGCTTAACAAAAAAACAAATAATTATATACTAGAATCTCCAAACAAAACCAACAATCATGTTTCCCACCAAACTTCACGCCACAAATCTGGATGATTTAACTCAAATCCGAAAACGCGCAACCTATTTTCAGCCACCGAGCCACCTTGTTCTCCTTCTCCATCAGCACCACGCGCAGTTTCAAGTCTGAAGCCTCTGGCACCACGGAAATCTGAAGCTGAAAACAGGGAGGTTCCAAGCGCTCTGTGTGGAGTCTCAGATCAGAGATGTAGGTGGTTGGAACCTCGGGACAAGAGTGAGGTGCTAGCAACTATCAAACACAAGGAAAATCATCGCCAAAGCAAAAGTCCCAACAAAAACTACCAAGAAAAGGCAGGATCGCCTAAATCCTGGTGGATAAAGGATAATATAAAGGACATAAACATATATAAAGTCAATTAAAATCATCTCCAGGTCCTCTGAGAAGCCGTTTCAAGCCAAACAGTTTGCCAGATCCCAGAGACGCGGGTGTACCAAATGCCATGGGGCGATTTCGACTGCTTGCCACGCGCCTGGAAGTTTCCAGTAGCATCTATCACACGCACCACCAAATGGTTCAGATCCTCCACGGTTTCGGTAGATTTTTCTTCTATCACCTTTTTTGGGACCTTCTAACCCCAACCCACGAAGCGGACAGTCCACCATTTTTCATCTGCATTTCCACTTCCAGGTTATCCGGTTTGTCCAAAACTGGGGTACCTCCAAGTTAAGCCGTGGCAGCCGTGGGACAGGCATCTCGTGGCTATTTCAGGATAAAAAACACCTCCCACGATCATCGATCGTCCTCCGTAACAGCCTCGGTGATGTCAAACTCGAAGGGGGTGAATCCACCCTGATGCGATCCAACGAATGTGCCATTCACCCAGACCCTTGCGCTGTGATCCACAGCTTCGAAGTGTAGCAGGAGCCTGGGATGGTTGATGCTGAACCAACCCACCAGGGGAAAAGATGTGAAAAGTACCTAACAGTTTCTTGCTTTGTATGCTGGATAGGACATAAACATTGAACAACACATGAAAAACAACATCAAACTCTTCTGAAATCACATTTTCTAGCACCATGCCTGGAAGTTTCGAGTTTCTCCACCTCAAAGCTTCTATGATACCACAGTTCCTCCTCCGGATCCAATTTTCTCTGAACTCCCCCAAGCTTGGATTCCAAGCAGAACGGCACCAGAATCGCCTGATCCGACTCTTGGACTTCCAACATCTCCTTTGGGTTGGGATCCGTTCCCTCCTTAGCGATCCGACATCGCCACAGGCCGTTCAATGTCTTCCAGGAGTTTCTGCGGAGCTGGGGCCGGGGATACTCGGACCACGGTGGATCTGGGAGATCTGACAGCTGAGCACCCCAAGTTGTCGTCAGGTGCTTCTCTGATTTAGAATTTGCCATTTTTTGGGGGCACGAAAATCGGAACAACTGAAGGGCTGAGACAGCTTGAGCCACTTTGAACTAGGCCGAACCCTTCAGTGCTGTCAATTCCTGCAGCCGCGACGACAACAGTTGCTGCAGGATAAAAACACACACTACCATGGTCCCCGGGCTCTCATCAGATCATCAAACAATATCCATCAATATCATCAAGTCATTTAATATTCATTTATACATTCATTTATAATCATTTATGTTCATACCTCAAACACATTCTTCGAGCATCTATAACTTGGATTTGCTTCAGGGCCACCCAAAAAATGGAAAAATCATCTCCTATGGATTCCCCTGAATTTTAGATTTCCCATTGGGAAAGTATAAACAATCACCCTGTAAACAAACCCAGCATAACTGTACTTTCTTTGCCCGTAGCACCAAGACCCTAAGAACTCTTTGGGTCAACACAAGAGCCTGAGGCATTTCCGAAAAAAATAAGAAAACCCGTGTTTTAGATTGAAGACCTCGGGTATTGATTTTTCGACTCATAACCCAGACCAACTCCTACTTTCAGGATGGGGTAAAATACACCGGGTTTTGTCAGGAAAACCTTTTCACACCGTCGGATTTCTGCGGGTTTTCGTTCTCAATTCACATCCTGCAGCCCAGGTGTCCCGAACCATCCATCAGATCAAACTGCAACGGCCCAGGAAAGAGCTGTCGAATGGATTGCAGATGCTGCAGCTCAGGTTCCCTCCCTCAGGATTGTCACTGGGTGATCCCCTCAAGTGATTCAGAAACTGATGATCAATCATATCAATCATCATCTTTCTTGTGCTCCCAGATTTTTGAGGCACAAGTTCAAGGTCCCTTCCAGTCTTCCTTGACCCATGGCCGCCGTTTGCACATAAGAAACTTGTGCCACGTGGGAACTGATCTTGGAACAACCAATAGGATATATCATACTATATACCCTCTGGTATTTTAACGTAGCTATTGAAAATGGCCATTAATAGTGGATTTTCCCATAAAAAATGGTGATTTTCAATAGCTATGTTAAATTACCAGAGGGTAGATATATTAGATAAAGTATGATAAGGTAATAAACTGGCCAGCGGCCAACACGAAATTTATAATAACCTGCTCTTCCATTCCAGATGGGGCTGCTTGCGACTTCCTTGGTTGTTCAACTTGGAGACCTTCAAATTAGGTTGATGAAGATATCTTGTGAAACTGAGGTTGAACATTTGAACAAACAATGCAGAACAAAACAAAACCATGGGCCGGAAAGCTGTACTACACCCCATCACGTCAACATTCCCCACAGCTCCTCTGGTGGGATAGCGGCATCCTGTGTGTCCAGCCCCGCCCTGCCTCTGAAAAAATGGTTTTTGTACCATGGCGAAGAGAAAGAATTCATGGCACGTACCAAAAGTGAAACATAGGAATATGATGGAATATGATGGAGCACATATGGGAACTTATGGGAACATGTATAATATTGGAAACTGATGCAACACAATTTTCCCGACCATGAGATGGAATCAGGAACCAATAAGCGCTCCTCGTTCACAAACTCAACAGTGTAGCCTGGGTTACCCACCTAAGTTTGGCAGGTCTATACTAATTACTCCTCCACGACCGCCCCTCAGCTATACCGTGTGATGCCTGCCTCCTCTTCCTTTTTTTGTTGGGTTCATATTAGGTTTCATCAGTTTCATCCCCCTTTCGTTTGCAAATCTCCGCATCTTTCAAGCGATACAAGTCTGATACTATCAGCAGCATTGGGCCCCGCACCATTTTCTGCAGTTGCTGGTCTAACTCTGCCTCTCGACCTTCAGAATGCTGGAAGCAACTGGCGATATACTTCCATGATGCTACACCAGGCATAGCCAACACATCTTTCTATACCCCATCTTTCCCATTTTAATTTTCAGGTTTGACTTCATCACCATTTACTGTCTATACTCAGTATACTCTTGTAAAATCTCTATGACACAGTCAAATCAGTGCCCACCGAACAATTCCTTTGCCTTATATGACTTCTCCCGTCTACCCTTCTGTTCAACGAACAGGGCGGTTTCTTGCATTTCCTCCGCAAGCAATTTTTGGGGCAATATCCCAACAATTTCATCATTTTTTCGCTCCGTTGTGAAATCATCATGGTTCCTGGCAGACATGCCAAACCTGGATATATTCTGCCAAAAATACCATCTATTCACCTGGGGTTATCCCTATTTTGGCAAGGAAAATATAGGTAGAGTATCAATTTTTCTAGTGAGCCCCAACAATATAGAAACGTCTCATCTAAGACAATGTTATCACTGTTCATGTATCCTTGTAAAGCACAGTATTTTCGTTAGAATTTCTTGGATTTGCTGATAGAAGGAAGCCATATAGATTCCCCAAGTAGTAGATTTCCCAGGTACAGTAAGTAGTAGATTCCCCAAATTCTTCAGCAAATCCGGGCCCCACCAGACCTCGAGGAGGAGACCCTGGCACCATTTCGATCACCTGGGCCTGTGGAGCCAAGGATTTTCGGATTTTTGGAGGCTAAGAAGGGTGATGTTGAAGATTATTTGAAGAAAACATATGAAAACATAAGAAAACTCTAGAACCTTTGGGCAACATGTCATTTCGAAAAAGGATTTTCAGAGTCAAGGATGGCTTTTAACCAACAAAAAATGGGAGAATTTGAGCAGACTCGTGATAGATGTGAACAAACAGAAATGGGATTTGACATACTTCGATCAACAAGAAATGAACTTCAAAGTATATCAGACCACACAGAAAAAGGATTGGCCAGTCAAAACCGTTAGAATCAAAGTGTTGTTGAGTACAGGGTTTATCATTCAATGATCCTAAAATTGTCAATCAAACAGAGATGGGTCCAGCCAGTGTTTACTCTCATACGTGGATGCCTGATGTTCTGAGGACCAGTGAATCTCTGGGTCCAACCGGAATGCAACACTTCGATGCGATGAACCTTGATCATTACTTTGCTTGTCATTTCGGACATCGAAATATGTCAGTATGTTTGACCGGCACCCTAAACGACTCAGAAAACATGACCACAAATCCGGACAGTTATTGAACGATAAATTCCAAACGCTGCTTGCGGCATCGAAATGACACTTACCCTTCACCACCATCCCATCTGCTGGTCCATCATGATGTCCGCATCAAAATGGTCTGTTTGTTTGTGGGATAAATAGCTCATGTTCAAACCCACAATTATCGTCATATATTGTTGATGATTTATCCTGTGATATTCTCTTCATAAGTTCCAAAAGGTTTCTTTGTCTATCCCGTCATATTCCCTTCGCTTATGTATATGTATATATACACACCCTATGAATTCAAGTACTTTGTTAGAAAGTGTTTGGGGTATGAGTTAAGGGGTTAAGTACCTTCTCATAGGTCTTTGGATCCATAGGCTTATATGTTATATATCTATATATTATACATATACCACCATAGCCCCATGATATCCCCATGATATCCCCATGATATCCCCATAAATTGCTGTTGCCACCAGTTCTTTTGGGCATTCCGCCTGGTTTGCGCCCTGCAACTGATCAAAGAACGCCTGGTTTGCCCCGGTGAGAGTTCCATCCAGCACCGATTTGGAAACAACGACAAAGCCATGGAAGACAAATAAGGAACAGCTATGGGTCATGAGTGTATACACATATCATCACATATCTATATTGTATTTGAGTTTATTGCTTACTGTGTAATTATTTCTAATTAGCATCTTTTCCAATTCAAACAACAATCAAAGCCAACATGTGATAGCCTAATTGAGGACCGGTAAACTATCCTGGTTGACTATCCTTCAAGAACAACAACATATATATATATATTATATGTATATATATATATATATAACATATTATAATATACATATTCGTTTATACTTAGTTGGTGAATGGTGTCTTTTGATTGCAACCGTGGTTAGAAATTTCAAAAGTATTGGCCCCATCATTCCAATTTTTTCCCTTATAGTCTGAACTGTAATAGTTTTTCGGCCCCAAACCTGGTATGCAATGATGATGAAACCACATAATATATAGGCATGTTTATTTAACTAGTTTTCATTTGACCAAGCCATTCCTAAATTGAGGATGGAGTGGAATAGTGGAATGGTTTGAAGGACTGCCACTTTTGTGGGGGCCTGGGGGCTGGTTGCCCACTCCATCCTCCATGGCTTTGAACAATGGGAGTGCCACACTGGGGCATCTGGGCTAGACATATAGACATCGATTATCCATATTGTAATAATATATATATATACACACACACCTAATGTATTATAATGTGAACATATGTCTCATACATATATAACAAAAGACATACTTTCCATGTACACAATCTATTATCCATTGGTGTGCTTATCTTTACACACCCTGTATCAATCAAAGCGAAACCATTCGTTTTCGCCTTGTTAAAGGCTGATGCAAAATCATCACCGCCACCCGAGAAGGCTCCCTGGACACCTGGGCGAGGAAGCTTATGAGAGGTGCCCAGAGGAGCGGTTGATTTCAGGGGAACGAGGAATATTTTGAACTAGAGGAATTGAGGAATTCATGAAATAACTAACACATTTTGTCCTCAATAAAATAGAGGAGTTCATCACTATTTGAGGAGAGCTTTACTTTGCTACCGCGGGTTTGCGATGTTCTACAACGGGTGTTCGCAACAGAAATATGGAGACACCCTTTGAACTTCAGAGGCTGACCATCTGACCATGTTTCAGAAGGTGGTCTGCAATTACCCCGTGACCAATGGCCCCACTTATGGGGAGGGCTATGATGAACCATCTCTGCAATTCATGCCGCTGGGGTTGGGTCCGGTTGGGTGCCTTCGATCAGATCTGGATCCAGCCGCAAAATGCCGCAAAGAAGCACAAACGACCCCGCATTCGTAACAACGCCGCCACGATTGACTTTGTAGCTATAGCAACCACCCCCTGAGCACATCTCAGCACTACAAATTCCCAAGCTCGGACTCCCCCAAGTAATGACAATGTGCCAGTGGCAGCAAATTCACTGCCAGAGCCCTGAACTCACTGCACATTTCTCCAGCTGATCTTGAAGTCTGGAGCTGTCACTTGCGTGTGTGGACTTGGTGCCTTTTCTGCCATTTTGGCAATCCGACTTTGGGGATGTTTCTAGAATTTATCCCCGCAGATGGCAAAAAAGGAAAACGTATTAGAACGGCTTAGAACATACCCCGCGGGAAATTAACATAGATCCGAAAAACCTATGTTTCCGGTCGGAAAATGATCTACAAATCATGGGTTTTCGTAGGTTTTCCATGGTTTTCCACAGTGTCACAGTGACACCCACCATCCATTTCCTGAGCCAGCCACACAACGCCAGACATTGAAAGCCTCGCATCACGCAGCGCCTGGCCCAAGCGGTGTCGCTACGCGCCGCGGGGCAGGGGTCAACTCCTAGCAGTTGCATGGGGCCAAGAATAATCCAACAAAACCACAATGACACCATATTAAACCAATGATTTCTTGCTGATGAGCCCGGGTTGACATTGTGGGCCATGGGTCAGAAATCAACAAGTTCTTTGAACGGCAAAATGTGCGGGTGTAAGCAATCAAGATGGGGATGTAGAACTAGCAGTATTGGTCTGAAGATATTGGGAATTTATCAGGTGATCCCTGGGAATATGAGGCAAGTACGTTAACAAAATAGATCATCTTAGATCAACACGAGGAAGCAGGGATTGAATCTTCTTGTTGATGCAACTCAACAGGGACCAGCCTCACTTGCGCCCATAGAAACGACTTACTTGCGCCCAGATTGATCTAAACATACCTTGATGATCCTTTATGTAGAACAACAACCATTTAGGGTCTACTTTAGGGAACATGGGGAGACTTGGGGGCCGGGATTAGGGAGGGACATGGGGGCATGCTGGGGCGAAAGGAGCTACTCGGGCACAAGCGAGACAAATCCACGGGCACAAGCGAGGCCGTTTACACTCAACATATCTATGGCTCCCAGTGCCTGCTCCCTCAGGCTGGATGAAAAAATGCACTGCTACTGCCAGGTGTGGTCATATACGTCTGGTCGAACAATCCGTTGTGTATTGTTATGTTCTGAGAGATATAAAACATCAATGAATAATGCATCAGACCAAGTTGCAGATTTGCCAAGTGTGTTCATCCACTGCTGCTGCCAAACCATGCTTCATCACAAACCTCTGGTCTACTCACTTATCGTCCCCTTGAAATGGTACGTAATCAGGCAATTAAATCAAATAGCCGTGGGAACTTCTTTGGCTCAATGGCTCAAAGCCGATAGCTCATGACCCGCAGTGAAGCAAAGAAGACAGCAAGTGAACAGTGTTCAAAATCCGACATGTCCTTCCAAGAAATACTGGTTCGTGAATAGATGTGAATAGGGATTCAGCTCAAGGATGATCATCACCTATAAACCAGGAACCACAGGGGTTCTGAACACTGGTCAAGCAACATCCAAGCTTCCACACTATCTGCGATATGTGAAAACACACCAGCGGTCCTATCTGATTGGACTGTTTGTTAATACCAGGATCCTCAAGCAAACATGGCTAGCAATCCTCAATTTCCTGTGGGAATTTCAATGGGATTTTTTTTTATTGCCATCTAAAAATGGACAATTGACCATTCCATACCATTCCTGATGGATTGATCAGCCGATCAGCCAAGTCATTTTTGCCCTGGAAGTTCATCATGTCCCCAAGTCTTGGTGCAACAATTTTACACGTGAACGATTCACATTCAAAGCACAGAATACACCTAAAAAAACATATTCAACAATCACCCAATTTTGAACGCAACACCTGGATTCTTTAAGTCTATTTCACATCTATTCAAATTCAGCCATTATGTCAGTAACATCACCAATATTCCATCGCAACGCTTTTTGCAGTCATTTCTTCGCAGGACGCTGAAGAACCGATGTGGCCGGCCGCTTGCGCGCAACAGGCGCAGCCCGTGCAGCGCCCTTTTCTTTGACCTGTGGGGCCGTGGCGCCAGCTGCGAGGAACTGTGTGGATTACATATAGGTTCTACCTGTCTATCTACTTATCTATCTACCTACCTACCTACCTACCTATCTATCTATCTATCTATCTCGGGGTATAGGAATACATGCTTTTATTTTTATTTCTATTTCTTAAATAAATGTAATGCATGCCTCAAACTTGCATCGCTTTGCCACATCCGAGCCCACCCCAGCCTGGATCTCGATGGCACCGGGCCCAGGGGCCTCAGCGCCACGGAAAATGGTCATTTTTTTAGAATTTGCGAAATGATTTTAAAGAAATCTTAAGTGTATTCAATATGATTTCATAATTCTATGGATATTCTATGATATTCTATGATACTTGATTGAACATGATTTAAGCATATTTTATTCCCTTACTCCCATATATGTCCATCACGCCAGTGTTGCTGGACAAAACGGAGTCGCCTCAAAGATATGATGATGTGAAGCCTAACCTGTGAACCAAGAGACATTGATGGCAAATCACAAGGGGCCCAAAGACTCTACACGTCACCCTTGGAAAGGATAATCTCTCACCATCTGCCCTGCTGTCTATCGTAACCTTTTGGACATTCACCAACATCCAGCACCCAATCTTCGAGTCCTACTTGTATAATCTAATAATATCTAATATACACAGATATACACAGTAAATAAAAAGTAAAACTCCAGCAGGGACTCCTGAATTTCTGATGCGTAAAGATCATAGAGTATCCAGCCAAGGTTTTTCCCCTAAGACTCCAACAGTCACGAAGAACTCGCAGGTCGAGGCTCTGTCCGGAAATTCCTCGGAGGTCAAATCACATGCGACAGCTTTGGAGATCACAGACATACACTTAGCGCTATCATGGATTGCTTCAATTTTCAGGCAATTAAATCAGGATTTTGTCACATCAACCAACCAAATGCTTCCTGAATGTCCAACCTCCGCGGCTTCATGGAATCTCTTCATTTTTCATTCTGAAATGAACAACCACTGAACAGAAGTATGGGAACTTCTCAACTTCTCAACTAATCCTGTGTGAATCCTCTATCTCCATCTAAGTCTTCATCTCAGTTCATGTTTTTTTCAGCATCTTTTCCGGACATCTCCATTTTTCGACAAATTCCAATATGGGGATGGGGCAAAAATGGTCAAAAGGTACCAAACTTTTGGGGGCACCAACATTGATGACATCATCAATATCCATTCACCAGCAAAAAATTAGCTTAGCCTATCGAGGTGTTGGCCCACCATCCATTTTGGTCATCCCTATCTCAATGGATTGGTTTGTTGGGGAAAATCTACAGGAAACCATATAGATTTTCCCATGAAATATAGGGCTTTCCTGTAAATTTTCCCTTAAACCAATCCATTGATTTTCAGGATTTTCATAGATTTTCATAGATTTGCCCATCATCCCATCCGTTTTCCCCGTTTTCCCCGTCTTCCCCTCCTTCACGTAGGCCGTGCGCCAGACGCTGCGGAAGGCCTGCGCCTGCGGCCGCGGCACCAGGGCGTAGCAGCTGCCGCCGAAGCCGGCGCCAAAGGCGCTGGAGCAGACCGCACCCAGGCAACGGGCCTGGAAAACCCCTGCGGTGTAGTGTAGATGTGCACCGGCACACAGGAATATTAACAGGGATATATGGGATATATTTTGGAATACTCTATCTGATCATGGGAATATAAGTCGCCAACAATATTAAATATAATTGTATATAATTATTATAATTATACATATATATTTTATAATTATATATGTATATATATATATATTAAATATATATATGATATTTGGGATTGGACATCCTCAACTATGATATTTTCATCAGCAAACATGCTACATGTATCTCACCCATAGGGTTGAGCCAGCAAAAGTTGTGATGATGACAGGTTGGAGGTTGAGCAGCCATCCCAGAAAGAATATCAGTCAATGTTCCTGGTTGGAGAATCAGTTCACTTTTTTTGAGGGAGCACAAAATCTCAAATTTATTTCTCACTGTACAAGTAACACCAGAATATGTTTCAAAGAACTTGATCCATATATATATATATATAAATAATGAAGTGACTTTTATGATCTTTTATGTACGCTCTAGTAAATTAACATAGCCATTGAACTTATTGAACATGGCCATTTCTGGTTGATTTACCTATTAAACATGATGATGTTCCAGTTCGCAAACTGTTATTTTACAGCCGAGGGCAACTGAGGGCAACATCTTTTTTAGTTCCGATCCAATGAAATCTCGGCTGATCGAGCCTCGGCAGGAAGCCATCTTGTCTCCGGCACCAAATTCCTGGCGAGACCAACAGAGCAGCAGTTGGTGTCTGAGCACAGAATCAGTGCGCACATCCCAGGAATCAGCTAGGAATCAGCCAGGAATTCGGAATCTTTAAGCTGTTTCAAGGTCCAAAATCAAAGCCAGCAGAGAATCTTTGGTTTGAAATGTTTTAAACCATGGTAAACCCAATAACCCCAATGCCATAGTGCCATGAACCATCATTAACCAACTGTGACTGGGGGTTATGATAAACATAATCCCAAATATAGAGTACTATAGGGGGTATACCCCATGCCCTAAACCTCGATTCTGGATGATAAAAACGATGATAAAAACTTTTTTTTGGTGTACCACAGCATTTTTCAGTACCTTTTTATACCTTTTTCAAGCCCATGTCAGCCTTGGCCTCAAACATGACAGCTGAACTGCAAACCAATGTCCCCTTCTTGCTGCGACAGATCGACCTGGATGATTTCGTGACGCGCAACTCCATGCAGCCATCTACTTCTTAACTAAGAATGATCAACCGGTCATAGAGACAGGCAATAATATGACTAAACATCAGAATAGTTCTTATTACCAAACTACAATAATTAATTACTTATTGTCTTACTATTTCATTAACTAAGAACATTGATACGTCTCTAAATCATCGAAATATAGATCTAACTACTTTTTACTTTTTACATCTTTTTACCATCTAATTAGATATCATCAGATCAAACATTTTTACAATATGTTTAACCATCTAATAGATCTAAAACACTCGTGAACCCAATCAGCCCATGCGCACCAGTTCACCCAGCCGCAGCGAATCATCCTTCGCCAAGGCCTTCCAGTTGGGACTTCCGGGTGGGGTGTCCCATGGGGAGTTCATGCCAGAAATGCGGGTATTTTAAGATGTTTTAACTCTTAAAACATGTGAAAAAACTCCCATGGGATTTCGGGATTTCGAAAATGAAAAAAAATGTGCTTTAAAACAAATGGGATGTCATTTAAAAAAAACTACGAAAATGATGAAAGCAACCCACATTGGGTACTGTCTAACAGTCGGATATTTTTTTTTGGGGGGTATATTTCAATCCGTGATGCCCTCCAATGTTTCACCGGGGAGTGCAAGCAACTATGGCATCGAGATCGAGGGGCATCGAAGAAATGATCAGCTCTATGGGACCTTAGATCGGTTGATCGGTAGATCAAAATCTTTCACAAATAACTTGGACTTGAACCTAATTATATCAACTATACCCTCTGGTAAACTAACATAGCTATGGAAAATCACCATTTTTAATGGGAAAACTCACTATTAATGGCCATTTTCACTAGCTACGTTAAATTACCAGAGGGTATCCCTTTCATAAACTAATTGGGCATATTGTCCTTCTGCTTAAAGCATGGCTATGGGTCACATGGAGAAGCCCATGATGTTCCAAGAGGGTCCCCCATGTACATCAGTTTACTTCCACTGTCTTCCACCTATATCATTATATCATTATATCTTATATCTATGTAGATGACTTCCCCCACAACAAAAAGGAATTCCCCGTTAGGGCCCCAAAAAATCCCCTATCCATAAAAGAAATGGATTGATTTCTGGGAAAGGCTGAAAACCATGTGATCTCCAGTTCTTTCTGCATATTCCTGTCGCATTTTCCCTTCCAAGTCTGGGACCATCGGATGTCCCAGAGCCAGGCTTTCCCTATGCGCCTCTGCCACTCCGGGTACCACCACCTCATTCTCGCTGTAGAATTGATGAAAGCGTTGTTGGAGCATTGGGTCACCTACACAATTCAGGGCTGGAACTGGAACTCTTCTTTGCATAACATCTTGGGGATTCTTGAATATTTTTTTAACTTTTAGAGTCGAGATTTGACCGATATCTCTTGGAAGGGCCAAAATTCCAGCAGCTGGCCAATAATGGAGACTTCACAATCATCATTTCCTCCTTGCCACAGCAGTTTAGCAGGGCCTGTCCCTCGAAGCACTTCTTCAATAGCTTCACCTCAGACTCCCAACAGCGAATTCCCGTCGCTTCAAACCTCACAAAATTTGAATGGTTAAGCCCCCAATAAACCCAACCGGACATCAATTGTTAAGGCTGATATTTAGTGACACACCAAAATCAATGGGTTAGTATATCCCATAGGATCCATGTATGCTATATATGGTAACATTTACCATCAATATACCCCCAATGTTAGCATATATACCATACATGGATCCTATGGGTATTATATTGTCACTGCACTATATCAGCAGTTTGTCGGTCTATTGCTGTCCCAAACTTGCCACAGACCCAAATAGGTTGGTACCTAGTTGGAGCTTGAGCCGAAGGGCAAGCGGCACCGCAGTATCTCACACAGGCTGCCAGGTCGGTGCAATCTTTGGCACCCGCGGCACTGCCTGCCGCGGCAAGTCTGGCTTAAGTGGGTTATAACTAGGAACACGGCCTTTATCTGGCCGTGGTGTTTTTGTGATCAACGGGGTGTCATGGATGATGTTTGATGTGGTCGTGCCAATAGGATTTTGGTTGATGTGATTTCAAAGGCGAAAAACCCGTGATTCTGGTGCATAAAATCAAAATCTAGCGTTTCGCCTAGGCGAAACTATCATTTTTGATGTTTCTCAGAACTCCCCAACTAATTCGACCTGTATTGTTTTGATGTGAGTTCAAAGACAAGAAACCCCCTTATTCTGGTGCAGGAAATGAAAAAACAAGTATTTCGCCTAGGCGAAAACACATTTTTTTGTAATTCCACATGTTATGTATTGATGAAGTTGGCACAGCCTGCCAGACGACCTTGCAACCGACCTGGATTTCAACATGTTATGTATTGATGAATTTGGCACAACCTGCCAGACGACCTTGCATGACGTATCAGTTCAAAGTACCTGAACACTTACAAGAACGTAGCATGACATATCAGTTCAAAGTACCCGAGCACTTACAGGAGCGTAGCATGACGTATCAGTTCAAAGTACCCGAACACTTACAAGAGCGTAGCATGACGTATCAGTTCAAAGTACCCGAGCACTTACAAGAGCGTAGCATGACGTATCAGTTCAAAGTACCCGAGCACTTGCAAGAACGTAGCATGACGTATCAGTTCAAAGTACCCGAGCACTTACAGGAGCGTAGCATGACGTATCAGTGAAAAGTACCCGAGCACTTACAGGAGCGTAGCATGACGTATCAGTTCAAAGTACTCGAATACTTGCAAGAACGTAGCATGACGTATCAGTTCAAAGTACCCGAGCACTTACAGGAGCGTAGCATGACGTATCAGTGAAAAGTACCCGAGCACTTACAGTTACAGGAGCGTAGCATGACGTATCAGTTCAAAGTACCCGAATACTTGCAAGAACGTAGCATGACGTATCAGTTCAAAGTACCCGAATACTTACAAGAACGTAGCATGACGTATCAGTTCAAAGTACCCGAGCACTTGCAAGAACGTAGCATGACGAATCAGTTCAAAGCACCCGAGCACTTACAGGAGCGTAGCATGACGAATCAGTTCAAAGTACCCGAACACTTTCAAGAACGTAGCATGACGAATCAGTTCAAAGTACCCGAACACTTTCAAGAACGTAGCCTGACGTATCAGTGAAAAGTACCCGAGCACTTACGCGAGCGTATCATGACGTATCAGTTGAAAGCAACCGAAAACTTACCTAGCAAGTTCACATGAACGTTACCACCCCACCCCACCCCACCCCACCCCACCCATGTCTACACGCACATAACGGCACACACAGAGACGAGTCCACTTACCTAGCAAGTTCACATGAACGTTAACACAGGCCCCACCCCACCCCACCCATGTCTTACACGCACACGGCACACACAGAGACGAGTCTACTTACCTAGCAAGTTCACATGAACGTTAACACATGCCCCACCCCACCCCACCCATGTCTACACGCACATAACGGCACACACAGAGACGACGAGTCCACTTACAGAGACTAGCTTACCTAGCAAGTTCACATGAACGTTAACACATGCCCCACCCCACCCCACCCCACCCCACCCATGTCTACACGCACATAACGGCACACACAGAGACGAGTCCACTTACCTCGCAAGTTCACATGAACGTTAACACATGCCCCACCCCACCCCACCCCCAACCTCTGTTCTTTGATTGTGATAGTTTGGTTTTTGAAAATGATAGTTTCATTTTGGGTGAAACAATGCAGTTGTTTTTTACTTTTCAATTTGGGGATGGTTTTCCAACATGTTTCTTTTGATTTTCTCGGGATAAGTTTTCATGCTAAAATTGAAACCTGGAGAGGTGGGGGCAGGTCAGAACAAAGAAACATGCTGTAATTCAAACAACAAGTATCATGATTACTGAACCAAACACACACACATACACACAGTTGTCATGCTTAAATTGAAACCTGAAGGGGTGGGGGCAGGTCAGAACAAAAAAACATGCTGTAATTCAAACAACAAGTATCATGATTATGAACCAAACACAAGCACATACACAGACACACTGCCAATGACCATCAAGTATCATGAACATATAAATATATACATAAATGTATTTATATATCTATATATACTTACTCAATGGTCATGCACATATGATACCAATATAGTGTCACCAAGAGTCATGCACATATGCCACCATCACAAATCATAATATACCATCCAGTGTCCCCCAGTTGTCATCCACTTGTGATACCACCATGCACACATGTCATGAACATAAATATGCTACCATTAATTTGTACCTGCAGGTTTCCTGGACAGGCGATGCCGTTGCAGCAGCCTTCAGCTGGGGATGGTGGGGATAACGTCCCTGAACAAGGGACTAGCCCTGAACAAGGGCATCATAACCCCTAAAATAATGGGCTTCAATTCCAAGACTTGGCATTCCAGGCCTTGGCAATTGAATTAAGACATCAAATTCAATTCCAAGACTTGGCGTTCCAGGCCTTGGCAATTGAATTAACACATCAAATTCAATTCCAAGACTTGGCGTTCCAGGCCTTGGCAATTGAATTAAGACATCAACTTCAATTCCAAGACTTGGCATTCCAGGCCTTGGCAATTGAATTCGTATCCATTCCAAGAAAAGGGTTAAACAAAAATCTGTCCCGTAGCTGGCAAATACATACATACACCTCCCTTTCATTTTCAAAGTTGTGAGAATTCATCAGGAATAATTCCAGTCTAGATTTTTTTCATATTCTTATTTTCACAAATGAGTTGGATGACTATATGCATAGTTCCTTTTTTTGTCTGGTGCGTGGCATTTTTGAGGCTTGGTGTGATCTACAGGTGTTCAATGCATATACATGACTATACTCATACACTTCTAGTGGATTGCATGCTCCAACCATCAGGTTCCCAAATGTGGTTGTAGGAATGGAGCTGCATAGGAACCTAAATACCGACTGATTTGACATTAGGATTTCAAATGGCAGACCTTCAACCAAATTAAACAAAAACACACTGTTTTTGAAGACATGATTAGATATGAATAGTTGTGGCTAGTGTAACGATGGAACAGTTTGAATTTGCTTACTATGGTCTTTGCACCAAAAGGTGTCGAACTTTAGCTGCCCTTGACAGAAAACACATTGTACCAACAGGGCACTGTTACTCTTCTAGATAAACCATACTCTTAGAGGGACATTCCATCATGCCTCCCTTGGGGATTTCCATTCAAGGTTCCAAATGTCCAAGAGGAACAGAATTGCTTGTTTGCTTCTCTTGGGCTTCAATTTCAATATGATGTTGTTATTGATGATGATTATTAAATGTGGAAGCTGAACATGAAATTCAGACTTGGTCATTTTCCAAGTCTGCAAAATCTCTATGGTTCGGTCTCCCAGAAAATGTTTTGGCACAATAGCGAATCTTAAATGCACTTCAAGACTTGGCCTCTCAAGTCTTGCACTGACAAACGTGATCACTGAGACTTTAAGGTTTTTCACGATGTGATGCAAATGAGTTCTTCAAAAGTTCAAGGCTTGAATCCAAGTCCAACCACTCATGTTTGTCTCAATTGGCTACACTTCCCAGGTCTTTCACATATGGTTGATTCATGGTAGTTACCATTAACATGGTTCAGAACTTGGCTGTATCAGTATTACTTTTTTGTCCTTTCATGACCTGGTCTTTCAAGACATGAACACATTTTTTTCAAGACTTGGCATCCCAAGTTTTGAAACAAAAAGGTAAGAGTTCACCCTTAGCTTGTCCAAATGCATTGCACCAAGTTCTGGATTTGATTGGACTTGGCATTCCAAGTCTGGAACTCAACTTGACCCATCTTGTTAACTATTTGACCTTCCAAGTCTTCAAGCTCAAGACTTGGGTTTTTGTTGCAAGGTTTTCTGCCTTGGCTCACCAATGAAGTTAGTCTTTGCGACTTTTGAAAAATCATAGGTTTCAACACTTGCTACCGCCCCGAGCCTGAAAACTTGCAAACAAGCTGTTCTGTAGTTTGATACTTGTTATGTTTCCTGTTGGGTGTCCAGAGTGGTAAAGATTGGTCTTGTGCTCACGACTTGGAACTCCAAGTCTGGAGCCCAAGAATGATATATTGCAATACTTGGCCTTCAAGTGTTCGAAATGATATTTTTCCACTTCCAATTTTTAACCCCTCCTAACATTTTACAACCATGTACTAAACTGTGTAACAAGCCGAAACTTTATACCTGTGTTTTTTCTGCCGTATGTGGGGCTGTGCCCGCATGATTCTTTACACATGATGCCATCTTAAAACTTGGCTTCTCAAATTTTGAAACCA